CAAATCCTGGACCTCATATTGAAAACTCTATAAATGAGTTACCAATCCTATTTTCTAACATAAATAGTCTTAAAGCAAATTACTTATCAAGATTTGAAGCCCTTAAATTTAGGGTTAAGCAACATGACATAAAAGTAATTGGTCTCTGCGAAGTGGGAAATCTCACAAAAAATGATGTGGAAAACTCCTTGATTATCAACGATTTTCAAATCCTCTATTATACTAATAAAAACCGTGGATTAATTATTTATGTTCATAACTCAATTGAATCTGAAATAATTCATGATCTTATGAATGACATTCTTGGAAACGTTTGGATAAAGCTGAAAATAAGTGGAAAATATTTTAATTATGGATTATTTTATCGGTCTCCCTCTCAGGATCAAGCAACTCGCAATACATTTTTTCAGTTGTTGTCAACAAATCTTGAGACTGCTCAGAAATTGCCTGGAACCTTAATTGTAAATGGCGATTTCAATGCTAGAAATAGTTTTTGGTGGAGTGATGATAAAACTGATAATCCTGGATTAAATCTTCAAAACTTAACATCTGACTTAAATATCATTCAACTTATAGATGAACCAACTAGAATTCGGAAGCGAGAGGAATTATTAACCAAATCATGTATTGACCTTGTTTTTACTGATGAAATCAATGTTATCTCTCATTTTAAAGTGATGGCCCCTATTGGAAATTCAGATCACTGTTCAATTTTGACAAACTTAAGGGTAAATATTCTAAAGGAACCACCTACTAAGAAAACTATTTGGAAGTACGATCATATGGACTCAAATGACTTAAATGATAGAATTATCAGCTTCAATTGGGATGAAATCCTTCTTTTGGATGATGTTGACATTGCTACTGAAAGATTCTCAAATAGCCTTTTTGATATTTTCAAAAATTGTATACCCAATTTTGAGATTAATCACAAATCTACAGATCAACCATGGTTCTCCCCTAACATCAAAAAAGAGATCAACATTCGTGACAGATTGCATCACAAATTCAAACGTTCAAATAATCCTGACTTTTTTACTAAATTTAAGACACAGAGTGATAAGGTAGTCAAATTAATTAAAGAAGCTAAACAATCGTATATTGAAAATACTTGTGAAAATATATCTATTCTTAATTCAAACTCATCAGACTATTGGGTACTTCTTAAGAAATTGCTAGGTAAATCCTTTGACACATCACTGCCTTTTTTACATTTAGAAAATCCTAAATTATCAGCTGGTACTTCTATTGAAAAGGCTGAACTTTTTCTCAAATTTTTTACCCAGAAAAATCATATTAATATTGTCCATCCAGAAGTGTTACCAGAGTTTCCTACTTTATGCAACAATAATTTATGTAGTATACAAACTAGTGAAGAAGAAGTTTTAAAATTATTGAAAGATTTAGATTTATCAAAGGGGGGTGGCAGTGATGGTATCACAAATAGGATGTTATTTTATTCTGCAAACAGTTTAGCCAGTCCTCTTTCATTATTGTTTAATAAGATATTAAATTCACATTCATTCCCAAAGGTTTGGAAAGAGGGTATCATAATACCTCTCCATAAGAAGAAAGATAAATCAAATATTGAAAACTATCGACCAATAACAATTTTAAATTCAATGTCCAAAATCTTAGAAAAAGTGCTTTACAATAGAATCTTTAATCACATGAGTCAGAATAATCTTTTCTATGACCTCCAATCTGGTTTTCTCCCTTTACATAATACCACATCTCAACTTGCCTATATTATTCATTGTATCCACGAGGAGTTAAATAATGGTAACAATGTCCGTACAATCTTTTTGGACCTTGCATCAGCATTTGATGTTGTCCCTCATCATCTTTTGCTTCATAAAATATCAGCTTATGGTATAAAAGATGACTTACTCTTGCTTTTAAAGTCCTATCTTTCTGGTAGACAGGTTAAAGTCAAGATAAATGAAAAACTTTCAAATTTGTCTGAACCAAACTTTCTAAATGCAGGTGTACCCCAGGGTAGCATCTTAGGGCCTTTGATGTTTCTTATCTATATAAATGATCTACCAACTAATTTAAAATCCAAAACGTTTATCTATGCAGATGATACTTCAATTTTTAGCCCCTATCCAAAAGATCAGCCACAAAATTGTCTTGATTTACAACAAGATCTTAACAAAATATATAACTGGGCCCAAACATGGCAAATGAACTTTAAAGCCTCAAAATCGGTTGACTTGACTTTCACTTCACCAACAACTGTTATTCAAAATGAACCAATTTTATTTTTGGGAACTAACGCAATAGATAAACAAAATACCCATAAGCACCTGGGTATCATTTTAGATCAAAAACTAACCTTTAAAGAGCATATTAACGAATTAATAAAACAGTCTCAAGCTCTGCTAAACCCTTTTAAAAGGTTGACTCATGTTTTAAGATCTAAACACTTAGAAACCATTTATAATGCCTTCATTTTGAGTCGAATTGACTATGGTGATATCTTATATTCTAGTGCTCCTGAATTATCTTTGATAAAGTTAAACAGACTTCAATATAATGCAGCTTGTTTGATAACTGGCGCTTTGCATGGCTCTAGCACTGAGAAGGTGTTAGATATTTTAAATTGGACAAAGTTACCAGATAGAAGAAAATCTCATTTATGTACTTTTCTTTTCAAAAGCAGACATAATTTAATAGCACCATATGTAAGTCAAGTTTTCAATGGTTGCAGAAATATTCCAACTCGAACTCTAAGAGCTTTCAGAGAATATAATATTCCTTTAGATATAAGTAAAAGATTTGAGAAATCTACTTTCTATGCAGCAATTGAAACTTGGAATACTTTACCTGATGATATAAGAAATTGTGAGCGAATTTCAATTTTTAAACGTAGGATCAAGGCACATTTTGAAAATTTCAATGGTACTAATTTCATAACTTATAGTAATGTTAAAAGAAAAAATGAAGTCTCATTTAATAGACTCAGAGTAGATCTTTATTTGAAAAGCCAGCTTTTTGCACATAATTTTAACAATGTACCTTCACCAGAATGTGCCTGTGGTCATCGCTCTGAAACACCAAAACACTTTTTTCTACAGTGCCCTCTATACATGAACCCAAGATGTCAACTCCTTAGAGATCTCCATATGGCGGATTGCTTAAGTGCATTTTTAGATTGTAATTCTTCTGATAAAATAGATATGCTTTTATTTGGTCACCCGGATTTGGATCATAATACTAATATTTTAATAATCAAAGCAAGTGTGTCATTTTTGCAATCCACCAAAGACCTACTGGACCCGTAACCAAACTCTACACATTAAGCACACAACTTGACCATTTTAAATAAAATAATGAATCTTTCTTTCTAAAGTAAAAATTATGAATGTAACTACATTAAGGTTTTCAGTTTGACAATAATGTTATTTTTAACCTTGTCAAACGTTATTATTGTATTATTGTATGTATAGTATATATTTGAAATAAATGATTATTAAAAAAAAAAAACTAGATGGATGGTAAGTACCAGATGAGCCTTTAAGCTAATAACACTTGAGCATGATCGTGTTGACATAGCTCTTGTTCTGATAACACAATTCTGATTATTTGAATAATACAGAACAGACTATCTCCCTAACACTGAATATATATGTGTCAGGCCCATAGCCAGGATTTGCCAAGGGGGGTTCGGTTTTCAAGAATTTCCAGGGAGGGTTCACATTTGACAATTTTGGCCCAAATATGGCTAAAATCACTTGAGAAGTGCTCAAAATGGTGAAAACTGCATGATTTTAGAGAATTTCTGGCCAGGGGGGGGGGGTCGTCCGAACTCTGCAAACCCCCCCTGGCTACGGGCCTGGGTGCGATCCAAGCATTGCATGAAGCAATGGGTACTATAGTATATGTCCATAGCCAACTTTATCTCTATGTGATATATCACGAAATAAGGAAGACTAATTTCATAAGGATTGAAATCCAGCTTGATTTATCATAATAATAAGGAAGACTAACAAATTGTAAATAAATTCATCATGCTGTCATATTCAAGGAAATCAAGCAATTTAGTTTCGGAGGAAAATTTAAAAATAATGGAGGGTCATCATGATTATTTTGTAAAGGAGACACTCATTTTACACTCCTCTAATTCAATTTCTTAAGACCAATATATTTCATTTTCAGATAATATCTGCTTTATCTGTGATTTCTCAAGAGGTCAGGTTTAGTAAATAAATAATTAAGAGACAGTGAAACCTGAATACCCAAATGGAGAACACCTTTCTTATCTAAACATCTCTAAATATTACACTTTTTCTCACTCCCATATTTATTTTTCTCATTGACTTACGTAATGACCTCTTAAAATATGAACACCTACTAATCCATACACTTTCGGCAGGTCCCATGTCCCAGAGGTGTTTGGATTTGACAGGTTTTACTGTACATAGTACATGAAGATTTCAGACAACATATTTTCTGAATGTTTCAAGTACAGTATGCTACAATCAGTCTGTGAATCAGAAATATTACAGGATGTAGGCTTGATGTGAGACAGGCAAGGCAACTACCTGCTAAAATTTTAGAGAATAGTTTTCTGATTAAAATCGACTTCACCTATTTTTGATCATGTGCTAAATTTGGCTTGCCTATTTTTGATCATTTGCTATTTGACTTACCTATTTTTGATAATTTGCTATTTGGCTTGTATATTTTTGATCATTTGCTAAATTTGATATGCCTATTTTTGATCATTTGTTAAATTAAGCTTGCCTATTTTTGATCATTTGCTAAACTTGGCCTGTATATTTTGATCATTTGCTAAATTTGATATGCCTATTTTTGATCATTTGCTATTGACTTGTATAATTTTGATCATTTGCTAAATTTGATATGCCTATTTTAGACCATTTGTTAAATTAAGCTTGCCTATTTTTGATCATTTGCTAAATTTGGCTTGTTTTGATATGCTAAATTTGCTGGGCTATTACATTTTCAAAGTTATCAAATTAAAATATTCTTACTTTTTACTGCCTTTTCTGTGTCACTTCCAAAGAGTGCCAGGTTGGAGTCTTTCCAGTCATATTTCTTGGCCTTTAACATCTGAAAATGGTACAACAGTATTTTATTGGCCATTCTATGGAGTCGGGGGTTTCATTAGCAACAGGTAACAGGCGATTTTTGCTAGTAATTATGTAGCAAAATCACTTGTTATTTTAGAATATGTTTCCATGTTATTTGAAATAGGTTTCCATGTCAAAATTACAATTTCAAATATTTTGGGCTTTTTATTTTACCAGCTGTTGGAAACTCATGAAACCCTATTCTAAAATTGCTTCTTAAAAGAGAGCTTCACTCTGAGTATCCTTTGATCTAGACTAACGTGATGAATACGGAGAACATAGTTGATAAATATCAAGCTACCCAAATACAAAATATAAGAAGGTTTACTGATTGCTCTTCGCAATCATAATTCAGAGACTGAGAAAGTAGGCGTGGTTTGAGGTGTGGCCTATATTTAAAGATGTGACACTGTGCGCTTGAATTTTTAGTATCTGAGACTTCGGAATACACCCCCCTACGACTTCCTGGGTATCAACTATGCAACATTAACGTATTATCACCATGCATGGCCTTACTGGAGTCTCTTGCCAATTCTTGGCTAGAAGTAATTTCATCTGGAACACCATGAACCATTTGAAAAAAGCTGGCTGTCGTGTTATAAATTTATTAAATATTTAAAAAATCGCCAGATAAATAAATCATAAATTAAAATGGAACTGACTGGGCTCCTTGATGAGATATTGAATGTTTTCATCAGGATTTCGTCTAAAATTAAAATAAACGGCTCTAAGAAAAATGGCGATATTCGAAAACTGGGCAAAATGTCGTTAATTGTCTGACATTAGTAACTGGCTGTAAATTCTAAGTTAGCGATCCAGAAGATGTGAACTAATACATTGATCACTTCATGTGTGTTTTGGAATTTTTGGTGGAAACTCGAAATTCAAATTGTGATGTGGAAAATGGCAAACATTTGATTTCAAATTTTATGATTACAACATGAGCCGTATATAGCAGTAAAAAAACATGCAGGGATTTATCTTTGGATGAATGCCACAATATAGTGGCCTTAGAAGAAGGTAAGCATGGCCCATGTGCTTATCGAGCAGCCCTGGTCTAACGCTTTACTTGTTTGAGCTGCCCCGGTTGGGTTGTGACAAAAGCTCACTAAGCCTGAATAACAAACCAAATACTTTTTCCTATCAAATAACAGTTGCTTCTCCAAATAGCTATGCTTCAACAACAAGAACTGTTACCAAAAATAGAATGAACTGAACATTTATTTTTCACGAAAACCAGGAAGTAACTTCGGTTCAGAATTGCAAAGTTTTGAAACATGAAAACACCGCTTATTACAATAACAGACCGGTCGAACGTCATGGTTATATATTCCCTATATGTCATTTATTACCTAAGCGCATAAAAATGGATAAATAGGTTATATTCACCTCTGCTTTTGCTAATTGCTTGCTGGACTAAGATACCGGGAAACTGCCTTCCTGTCAAATCAATTAGCACTCTTCAAAGTGGAGACTGTAAATTATCAAAAATACTCTAAACGAAACTGTTTAAATTACCGGGTAGTTATTTAAAAACTTGTATTATTTCAAAGGCATCCATAGGGATAAAGGAATTTTTCAGATAAGCCTTAATTGAGCTGTTTCCTCCTGTTCATCCTGCAATCGTTTTGATGAGTTTAAATGATGAAACATATATTCCTGCACACGTTTTCACTTGTTGAGCACTCGTCAACATTACCGTTTAATTATAATTGAGGGGTTTAACAGGGGTCCACAAAAATTTAAAAATATTAGATTTTGATATTTTTGAAGTTTACAACGGATTATCTACTTATGAATCGGATTTTGGGAAGGTTATTAGCATGATATATTGATTTTATCTGTTAAATTGAAAATAAGATCGTCTGTCTGATTATATTTTGCATTCAAGATGATTAAAAATAATTGTTCCATTAAGTTCATTTTCTTTTAACATCATCTTGTTTTTTGTTGATCCGCCAATTGTTTTGATATCTTTAAATGATAAAACATATATTCCTACATACGTTTTCACATGTTGAGCACTTGTCAACATTACCATTTACTTATTATTGAGGGGTTTGACAGGGGTCCACAAAAAATAAAAAATATTAGATTTTGATATTCTTGAAGTTTACAACAGATTATCTTCTTATGAATCGGTTTTTGGGAAGCTTATTAGCATGACGTATTGATTTTATCTTTTTAATTGAAAATAAGATAGTTTGTCTGATTATATTTTGCATTCAAATGAATGGTTCCATTTAGTTCACTTTCTTTTAACATCATCTTGTTTTTTGTTGATCCGCCAATTGTTTTGATATGTTTAAATGATAAAACATATATTACTACATACATTTTCACCTGTTGAGGACCTGTCAACATTACTGTTTACTTATTATTGAGGGGTTTAACAGGGGTCAACAAAAATATTAGATTTTGATACAACAGATTATTTACTCATTAATCGGCTTTTGGAAAGTTTATAATTATCCCAACGAACGAAGTTCAGTAGGGATATAGTGAAGCCCTCCCTCCGTCAGTCAGTCAGTCCATCTGTCCGTCTGTCAGGAAGATAACTTGAATACTGGTATACAGATTTTCTTCATTTTTGGTGAAAAGATGTATATTGGTGAATAGTTATAAGCAAAATAGAATATTTCAAGATGGCCACCAGTTTAAAAATGGCGGGAATTTTTCTCAAAAATCTTATGTTTTTCATTTTAAACTAAAATAAGAAACATTATTATTTGAAATTTTGGTAGTATATTAACATTATCTATCTATTTCACATATATCCTGGATTTTTAATCCTGACCCCCATGGGCCATAAAGGGGGGGGGGGGTTGGGAAAACACAAATTTGCATTAATTTTGAGAAGTTTTTGGAGTATAGCTTCATTATACTCAAATGAAAGACAATTTAGAGTAGATTGCAAATATTGTAGCGTTTTTCTGATTCAGGCCTAAAAAATTCAAAATGGCTGTCTAATGCGGAATTTCGCAATTATTTTCTGATCTCTTAAAAGTATGGGTATATTATACTAAAATTGAAGGAATTTCAGAGTAGATCACAATTATGGCAGTGTTTTTGGGATTTGTGCCTCTGAAAATTCAAAATATCTGACTAGAGCAGAAATTCGCCATTACTTGAAAGTATGGTTACAATGATCTAAAATATTTATTGAAGGAAAGAGTAGATGGTAAATATTACATTGTGACTGTACAGATTGATGATTTATAAAGTGTTCGTTGGGATTTGCTACTCCGTGGAGTTGCCATTTTCTAATTAGTATATAGTACATTTGCTAAATATCATATATGAATATAGCCCGAAATGGAGATACCAGTATCATCCAGAAAAATGTCAAGCTATAGTCTTCTCTAAAAGTATGAAAGTAAAAAATCCAACATTAGTCCTTGGAGATAAAAAAATTCCAATAAATAGTGACTCGATTCAACATTTTGGATTACCTATTTGTAATAAATCAAATTTAGAACATATAGAAAATGCTTTGTCAAAAGGAAGGAGAACAATTAATGCGTACATTGGTGTGTCATCTACTGTAAATAACCCATCAAATCCATTAACTGCATCAAGGCTATGGAACTATTACCCTTAAAAGAGTCTGATTTAAAGTGTATTGAAAATGGTCATAGAAGTATTGCTAGGAAAATTCAAGGGATTCCAAAACATTCAAGTAACGCAGCATCAACATCTATGTTGGGCTGGCACTCCCTTACCTCCAAAATAGTCATCAATAAACTAATGCTCTTATGGCAACTACTATCTCTGCCATTTTCAAGCATCTTTAAAAGGGTAGCTGTATTACGTATAATCAATGCATCCTATGAGAACCTAAATAGCTTATCACCAATAGGAAACTGCATCCAGATAGCAGAAGCATATAACCTTGAAAGTTATATACAAGTATATAGAATGATATCTCATGAATTTGAATTACCTAAAGTAAAATGGAAAAATATTGTTAAAAACAAAGTGCACCAAATTGAAATACGAAAATGGCAAATGGAATGCATACTTTCAATTTTTAAACCCATAATATGGTGGGATATTGCAAAATCAGACCCAAGAGTCTTAAAGTGTTGCAGAACTGTAATTAAATTGGTTATTGGAGAGGGAAATATTATGGTAAATGTTAACAAATGGACAAATGGTAGGACTTCGAATATATGTAAAGTATGTAACCTAGAACCTGAAACTCTGAGTCACATGATCCTTAGATGCCCTGGCCATTATGAGGAAAGGGATGCAATCCTAAGGATTCTTAAATCTGCTGTTAATACAACACAGTATATCCCTAATGATGTCCTTTTAGGCTGGATATTTGGAGTCTGTGATGTATTTAATGTACAGCAGTATAAAGAAATATCTGTATATATTCATAAAATTTACATAAATAGACCAGACCCTTGGCCTGGCATCACATAATACCATATTGTATATATGTTTACCAATGTACATGTATCACTGTATATATGTTAATTTATCCATTGTAAATTTTATATAAAAAATTAATGTATAACACATCAGAAATGTTGGATAAAATAAACAAGTAAATAAAAAAAATGACATATTGATCTTATCTGTTTAATTGAAAATAAAATCGTCTGTCTCATTATATTTTGCATTCAAAATGATTAAAAACAATTATTCCATTTACAGTTCATTTTCTTTAACATCATCTTGTTTTTTGTTGATCTGCCAATTGTTTTGATGTTTAAATGATAAAACATATATTCCTATATACATTTGGACCTGTCAACATTACCTTTTCCTTATTATTGAGGGGTTTAACAGGGGTCAACAAAAATATTAGATTTTGATATTTTTGAAGTTTACAACAGATTATCTACTCATTTATCAGCTTTTGGAAAGTTTATTAGTATGACATATTGATTTTATCGTCTAATATCGTCTGTGTGAAAAATAATGGTTCCATTTAGTTCACTTTCTTTTAACATCATCTTGTTTTTCGTTGATCCTCAAATTGTTAAATAATATGTTTAAATGATATTAAACATATATTCCTACATACGTTTTCACCCGTTGAGGGGTTTAACAGAGGTCCATAATAATGAAAAATATTACATATTGACACTTTTGAAGTTTACAACGAATTATCTACTTATGAATCGGCTTTTGCATTTAAATTATAATCTAAGGTGAATGAAGAATTTATTCCCATTATTTATAAAATTAGATTTTAACATCAATAAAGCATATGATTTATTTAGTAGAAAATAGACTATCCCATGAGGCAATGCTAGAACCCAAACGCTCTACTGAAATTAATTAATACCGCCTCGCCCAATCTTTTTTTCTCGAATAGGTATTCTGCCATATCAAGCTCCTGATCATCCAGTATATGTTTAATATTGCCCGCAGAAATGAGGTTATTAGTATCACCACACATAATGCCCCGGCTGAAATAGCAAAAATTATATGCATTGAACGATATGTCATTTCCCAGGGAAAATTGCCGGGCGCTAATGCATAATTGGCCCGCCACTATGGCCCGCCACTATGACGTCACATATTGCTCGGATCGATTAAGTAACATAAATGCCTTCTAAACTAGCACTTATACCCCTATAACGTTCCCGGCAACAAGGTGGTTATAATAGTAGTTGATCTGAGAACTATCCACTAAAATATTCATCTTTTTGAATTAGACTTGAATTAAATCTTCAATAAATGAAAATCTGAACCACTTTAAGATATTCGAAAAATTCAGAAACTGCAAATGATTCAATTATAACTATTTAAACCAATTAAAATTGCTAGGATATGATAATAAGCTTAAAAAGTAAACATTTGATTAGTTATACCAATTATTGTGATTTTAGAGCCCAAATGTTATCTCGTTTTACAGTTTCAACTGTATAAATCTTCTTGCTGTCAACGTATTTATAATAGTCTACACTTATTTAGTGCCTGTTTATAATGATACCGACATTATTGTAATATTGAAATCATATAAGTAATAAAGATCCACAAGTCGAGGTCAATGTCCCCCGCCCCCAATTTGTGACATGGCGTTTTACGAAGAGACATCAAGATGAAACCTGTTTTCATGATTTATACAACTTAATGATGTAATTTAATCGTAACAATGTACTAGCTTTCCATCTAAGAACTATCCGGAAAAATATTTAATTTTCGTAAAATAGATCCCTGCTGAAATCGTTCATAAATGAAGTTCTGTAACCTTGTATGGTGCACAAAAATTCGCAAATGGTCAATGATATAATCCTAACTAACAAAAGCAAATTAAAAACACAAGGCTGTAACAATAAGCTTTAAAAAAATTATACAGTGTTTGATGAGTTATACACCCCACTGTGAACTTGGATTCCATTTTGATCTAACTTTTCAGTTGAAATTTTACATTATGCTCTTGACATATAATAATTCATACTTTTTGTACTTATTTATTATCTATTCACAAGAAATATTTTAAAATGATTATTT